TAAACTATACAATGGAGGAATTCTTCCAGCTCTAGTGGATAGTAGACCAAAGACAAACACACTAACCTTGGTTTATGGTAGGCACTGAAAACAGCTTCAGCCCCAAGACCTGGACATGACCCAAAGTCTAAAAGGTGCCCATACACCTTACGATTGAATAGTCGTACGATTTTCGTACGGCAGCCCCAATCCGGCCCCGATCACAAGATTAATTTAGTCGTAATTAACGATAAGCACCTGGACGAAATGCGGTAATTGATTTGCCGTATTTTCGTTAGCGCAAGCGCAGTGTAGATCGTACAACTTGACGGACGGAAACACCAGCAACCTTACAAAAATCGTGCGATCTATCAAAGTTTTCAAACATGCTTGACCGTCAAAAGTCGTACGATTGTACAGTAATGTCAGTCGGACACTGCAATGCACACATACGATTATCGGACGAAAAGTCGATCGCATACGAAAATCATCCGATAATCGTAAGGTGTATGGGCACCTTTAGCTGGGATAAAGGTAAAGATGAGTCACATAATGGGCTGATGTTCAGGTGGAAGCAATCATAGTTCTTAATGAGCCAAGACCAGGTAGTAAATGAGTTGCTGACACCAACAGAAAACCTATTAGCTTCGATGCTTTACACCAGTGCATTCAGAAGTCCAACACCTGCATGCGTTACTGATAATTCATAAAACAAAAGTTTGTCTATCCAGCGCTTATGTATAGGTTTCACACAAGAGCCTGATATAAAATGTGGTTCCTGCAACAATTTTCTCATTTCTATTACTTATTGAGTTACTGTGCTTATACGGTCAGGGCTATTGCTTAAAACAAACACAAAGAGCCCTGACAACTACACAAAGCCACCCCCCGGGGTGTTCTCTCCTGTAAATACTCCCTGCAACAAAAGTAGAGTACAAGCGAGAGTAAAAATAGTACTCTTACCTCACTTATGTCATATTTGTGGGTGTAGGAATCAATAGGTTGCCCAACTGAGCTGCTGCTCTACAGATTGATAGTTACTTGTGCTGCAGCCTCTGCCTCTATTCTGCCACCCAGTGGCAAAAAAAAATGCATACAACTCCTGCGTTTTTAACCACTTGAAGGCCTCGGTGTTAAACCCATTTTTCAGTATTCAGCAGTGCAGTGCTTTGACATTTATTCCGTCATGCAACGTTGTACTGAAATTATTTTAAACCATTTTTGGTGGACAGATAGCTTTCCTTTGGTGGTATTTAACCACCACTGGGGTTTTTATTTTTTACTATATTAAGGGGGGGGGGGGAAATTGGTTTCCCCTAAATTATAAAACATTACCCAATTTTTGGGTAAAATATAAAAAAGGTGAGGTCAAGCCGGGTAAAAAAAAAAAGAGACCAAACATGTCAAGCTTTAAAATTGTGAGCCCGCAGTGATTGATGGCCCTAAAATTATTGCCCTCTCAGACGTTCGCAGCAATATGTAACATGTGTAGCGCAATTGTTGTTTTCGCAGCGCATTTGACGCGTATTTACGTTTATATGTGCATAAACGTGGGTGACTTAATGTTGGGTTTTTTTTAAACTTTTTTTTACCCTTAATGTTATTGCTATCACATAGTGGGAATAACAATTCCCCTATGTGATAGCACAGGTACACTGACCGGTCCTCTTTATGGAGACATTAGGGGTCTCCAAGACCCCTGCCATCTGGGGACCCCCAAAGAAGCAGATGGAAGCCGAGATCTGCTTCATCAGCTTCTTCTCTCTGGCTATAGCAGCCAGAGGACTGACCGGTGAATGCGGAAGTGATGTATTACACATCACTTCTGCATTCACAGTATTACACATCACTTCTGCATTCACAGTACAGAGGGAGATGAGCGAGGAAGATGCTGATCACCCACCCATCTTCCTCTGGACACCCCCAAGAGCCAGTCTAGGGTCGCAGATGGGGTAGCGGATCCAGGGATTGAAGGTGGAGGGGGCGCGACGGCACTCGAGGAGGGGAGGGGGTGGGCGCGCAGCCAGCACATACAAGCGATCGGCAGGCTATAGAGCCGCCAATCGTTTGTATGTCAATGCCTCTATAACCGCTTGCCGTCCGCGAAAAAAACGGACAGGTGGCAAACTGTACAACGGACACTTTCTTTCGGCCTGCGCCAGCAGAAAATAAGTAGTCTATTTACGGCAACCCGCCCATGTGAGTTTGCCGCCTGTCTGTTTTTTCACAACGGGTGGACGGCAAGCGGTTAAAGAGGCACTACAACATTCCTTGGATGAAAGGCTTTCGACAGAGTGGCCCGGGATTACATGGAGGCCGTTTTGGTGGCATTAGGTCTTGGGCAAGCCATGTGTTTAAAGATGCTTTTCCTGTATTCAGAATCCATGGTGAGCGTTAAGGCCCCATTCACACCGAGCGATTTAGCGAGCGATTTCTGCAGCGATATCGCTTATATTTCCACGCGATATCGCTCTATGTAGCTTCTCCAATCCATTTCAAATGGAGCTGTTCACATCTCGTCGCTCAATATCGCTTGTAGCTCCTACATGACCCTTTTTTCGAGCGATTTCGAGCAATATTGCTCCTGATTGCATACAGCCCAACAGGAAAAAGTTGTGACAAGTCGCTCAATATCGCTCAAAATTACACGATTTTCATGTCGCTCAGTGTGAATGGGGCCTAAGGGTAATGGCCACCTGGCAGATGCCTTCCAGATTTCCAATGGCACAAGACACAGGTGTCCCCTCTGATTTTCATTTTGACCCTGGAACCAATTTTTTTATTGTTTGAGAGCTCAATCGAATATTAGCGGTGTGCGTGTTGGTAAGGAATACAATTTGGCAGCTTTCGCTGATATTCTTCTCTTCCTTTCAAATCCGCTGGTGTCCCTGCCAAACTTGCTTTAGTTGTAACGTTTTCACTCGCTCTCCGATATGAAAATCAATTCTCAGCATTAAAAGGTCCCCCTCCCTCCAAAACTAGTGACAGTGTCAGGACAATTTTCCTTTTATTTGGCAAACTGGTATCTCTTATCTTGGGATCCAGATTCCAGCAAAACTAAAGCTTCTTTACTTTGCTTATTATCTTCCCATTTTGAGCGCCCGGTTAGGAGACCTTCGTTTTTGGGATAAGACTTGCTTATCTTGGCTTGACAGGGCTGCAACGTTAAAGATGAATATCCTCCCGAGGCTGCTCTATGTGCTACAGGCCATCCCCATCTCTGCCAGCAGCCTTTTACCACTTGCTGCCTGGAGCAATTTCTTACATTTGCGCACACAAAAAAAAAAATTTGGCTAGAAAACAGCTTCAGACCCCCAACAAAAAATGTATTTTCTGAAAGTAGAGGCCCTGTAGAATAAAAAGATGCTAGTTGCAATTTTTTATGTTGCACAAATGAATGTTCATCAAACAAGTATTTTTAGGATAAAACACACTAAAATTAAATTTAGTGCACAGAAACAGAATACTGACTTTTGGTAAAATATATAAGATGGAGTCACGATGGGTAAATAGATACCAAACAGGTCTAACCTTAAAATTGCATGCGTCCATGAAACCGCAAAAAACTACAATAGCCAACATTTCCCATAGGTGACGCTTTAAGCGCTTTTACTGCTCATCAGTTTAGTGGTAACCGTGATTAATGGGCCTAGTTATTGCTCTTACTCCGATGCAATTTTTTTTTACTCTTTATGGAGACATCAGGGGTCTTTCAGATCCTTAAAGTTACCTAGGGACCCAAAAGAAGCTGCTGAATCATAGATCTGCTTCACCAGCTTGCAACTGAAAAAGTAGTGCAAGCTCTAGTCAAAATAAGGGCACATGTTTAACCTCTAGCCGTCCGCCCGTAGTAAAAAAACGGACGGACGGCACTGCTGCATCTGCGGGTTGCCGTCTCCAGACGGCAATTTTTTTCTGCTCGCGCGCGCCCCCTAGCGGGCACGCAAGGGCAGAAAAGACCCGTCCAATGCGAACACCCGGTACCGGGTGTTTCACATATAGGCGATCAGCGGGTCCATAGCCCGCCGATCGTCTATATGTGCACGTTCGCGGCATAAAGCAGATCTCTGCTTCATCAGCTTCTTTTGGGGTCCATAGGTGATATTAGGGGTCTTAGAGACCCCTAATATCTCCATAAAGAGGACCTGTCAGTGTGCTTTTGCTATTATATAGGCGGTTGTTATCCCCCTATATAATAGCAATAACAAGTGCAAAAAAATAAATATAAATAAAAAAAAATAAAAGTAAAAAAATAAAATAAAATAAAAGTCACATATAAAGGGGAAAAACCCCCCCCAAAATGTTTAACTCCCCCACCCCCACGTTTACGCGCCTATAAACGTAAATACGCGTCCGGTGCCCCAGCGCGCAAAAATTACAATTGCGCTACACGTTACATATCGCCGCGAACGTCGCAGTGAGAGCAATCATTTTAGGGCCATCAATCACTGATAACACTAAACTGATGAGCGGTAACAGCTTTTAAAGCGTCGCCTATGGCCAATTTTGGGTATTATCGTTTTTTGAGGTTTCGCGCGCGCACGCAATTTTAAGGCTTGACATGTTTAGTGTCTTTTTACCCGACGTGACCCCATCTTTTATATTTTACCAAAAAATTGGGTAATAATAAATGTTTTATCATTTAATATAGGGGAAACTGTTTTTTTTTTTAAATTTCGGTAATTTTTCCTTAATATAGTAAAAAAATAAAACCCCCAGTGGTGAATAAATACCACCAAAAGAAAGCTCTATCTGTCCCCAAAAAAGGGTATAAAATTCATTTCAGTACAGCGCTGCATGACGGAATAAATGTCAGTCAAAGTACCGCAGCGCTGAATACTGAAAAATGGCCTGGATGGGAAGGGGGTTTAACACCGCGGATGTCAACTGGTTAAAGACCGATTTGCACATTAAAAAAAAAAAAAAAATCTAAGAGGCTAAAACTGTTGCAATTGCTTTGATAAACTCCCCCCAATCTTTCCAACAAAATGCAGATAATTACATGCAAGACCCACACTCACCTCTTTTCCTTGTAGAAATGTTTACCAATATGGGATGGCAGAAGTCTACGGATTCTCGCATCAGCAAGGAACAAGTCAAAGCTGCCAAGTAAACGTCGCTTGGCTTCATATGGTTTGTATTCTTTTTTCATTTTTTTAAGGGGAATGACCTGGGAGACGAAAAAAAAAAAAGTACATTTAGTCAAAGTGCAACTCCAATTTTGTTGATGAGTGATTTCTGTACAGTGCAAAGCGAGTGAGAGATCTCTACCTTCTTTGGAATGCAAGTACTACCTCCATACAGAGGCGTAGCAAGGACACGATGCGCCTGGGGGCAAGTCTTTCATTATACACCAATGCAGAACACCATCCTCTATAAACCCAGCAATACATTAAAACAGCAATGCAGATCACCATAATCTATAGAGGACTGGTGCTGGGTCCCGTACCCTGGTCCAGTTCCTGGGCACACTGGTAGTACATGGCCCACACCTGCTCCTCATTGGTGGGCTGCTCCTAGGTATTCATGATAATTTCCCCACACCCCGCCTTGCAAAAATTGCCCTTTTGCCACCTGTCCCCCTCTGGATCTGCCACTGACCTGACCTTCAGTCTCGGCTATGGGATAGAGCTCCCCTGATCTCCCAGGCCAGCTATGGTGTACAGACCTCACCTGACCACCCATCCCAGCTATAGAGTACAGAGCTCACCTGACCTCTCCCCCTGCGATCCTCCCGCCGCTGCCATCAATGCTAACCTTGAGCGGCTCTACTTGTCACTGTGCCCACATCTCTTCTCCCCCCACCGCCTACTGTGTCCACTGAACCCCCTCCAGCTCTTACCCTGCCCCTGTGCCCACCTCTGTGTACACTGACCCCCCCACAATTGACTCATCAGGCCAGTGATTTTACAAACAAAGCTGACCTCTTCTACATTCCTCCCGCCGCTGCTGAACCTTTAGCTCTGTAATCACAAAAACTAGGCCGCTACGAGGCCCCAGCGTGTGCTGAGGCGGGTTGCCTAACTTGACTGACCCCAGTGCAGGCACTGCTTTCCTGCAGCTCAGTGTGGCCGGACTGGCAGAGCAGGGTTGGGGGAGGCGAACGAGCAGGCTGCATACAAGATCACTTGCAAGCAGCCGCAAGAGCGGCTTGTAGAAAATCAGGCCATGCCTGCGCCCCCTGCAGACCAGCGCCAGGGGGCAACTTCATTATGCTAATTTGAATGACTTAAGGTAAACATATAGGTTATTTTAAAGTAGAAGACAAACACCTGTTGAGGACTTTACATACAAGACACGTTTAAGCATCTACTAGACTCAAATGCTGGAAGACACATACTATATTTTTCTGTTAATTGTACTCACATTTACTGTTATTTTTGTACATTTCTGTTGGTTTTGTACACATTAAGTACATCTGATGACTAAGCTGCAAATAAAGTCAGTCACTCAGGATTCATTGAAATTGACACTTTTCTGAAGATTATATAAAATCACCTTAAGACGCCTATAATACAAGTGTCATTCAGGGAAAAAACATCAGTGTCAATAAAACAAAGTGAGGGAAATCCCCCCCCCAAACAGGGACCCAAACTTTAATGCTTCAAAAGATAGGTGGTTCTCATTGAATCCAACACAAAGAAAAAACAGTTGGGTATTTGGTAACATCTTTCCCATCAATTTTCCAGGACAGCACAGGAGAAAGGATGCGCCCACCTACAAACAGGAAACACATCCACAATTAAAATAAAAGGGGCACATACATATGCCTGCTGTCCTGAAAGATTCATGGAAAAGACATCAGGTAACCAATTTTGTTTTCCCCAATTCATCTTGCAGGACAGCACAGAAGAGGGTTAGGCTCGCATTACTTTTTAGAGGGGACAACTGCCAAAAGTGGCTTCCTACAGAAAGCCTGGAAGGAGAGCAGGTAGACTGTTTCACAAATTACTGGAAACATCCACAAAGCTGCACCAGCTTTCTAAGCCAAAGAGGCGACTACAACTCTAGTGGAATGTGCGATAACGCCCTCTGGAGGATTCAAGTGAAGAGATTGACAAAGCTGTAGCTTGTCTAATCCACTGGGCTAGAGTTTTTTAGGGTGCTATACAGCCTTTCCTAGGGCCTGGAAACAGGACAAAAGATTGGACTTCCTCCAAGGCCAAGTGATCTCCAGGTAACACAAGACACCTCCCAACATCCAGATGGTTTAAAGTTTGTTTATCACTAAATGGATTATGACAAAAAGAAAGGGGTGGTGGGTTCAGTCGAGGTTGAAAGCTACTTTAGTCAAAAATGCTGGGTCTGGTCTCAAGGTAATTCAGTTCGAGAAGGTGTACACAAGGATGCAGTACTGGGCTGTGAAGAAAGATTGCTCTCCCCCAGAGGTTACAGTGGAGGGGATATGATCAGTCTGCAAAGATGCACCAACCCAGCTGTCAGTAGAAGAGTGCAATGAAAGCTTTATCTTTGATGAACTATTAAACCACCTTAGGTAGAAGACGAAAGAGGGGTGGGTGGAAGGTACAAGTCAGATCCCAGTCCCCATCGATGAGCAATGGTATGTGCATGCAAAATCTCGGTCTCTAAAGCAGAAACAGTGATAACTGACTAATTGCAACACGCAAGGACGATCAGAAAGCACTCTTGCATGTACATATAAAATCTCTGCTCCCAATGTCATATGGGGCTCATGCTGTGCACTAGGGCTGCAACAACTAATCGACAATCGATTATTGAAAAAAGTTGTCAACTTTTTCAATAATCGATTAAATCGGCTTCCGATCAGTGGGCCCTGTTCACAGCTCCACGAGCTGTGCTGCTGCTTCCTCCCCTCCTCACATCCACGCTCCACACGCCTCACATTTCCTGCCCATCCACGATCGGCACAGGGACGCGGGGAGATGTAGTAAGGAGGAGCAGGTGTGGGGGGGGGATGACAATCGCCGATAGACAGGTCCGATCTCAGAAGCAAGTTGCTGGAAGACTGCACTTTCCCACACATGGTGCTCTATAATGTATTGCTGGGATTTGTATTTCTCTATAGCCGATGGTACATTGTGCTGTATATTATACATAGGAATACAAATCCCAGCAAAACATTATACACTGTATGTATAATGTATTGCTGGGATTTGTTGTACTCTATAGCTGGTGATATTCTGCATTGCGCTGTATAGAGGACTACAAGTCCCAGCAATAATACATTATACAGTGCAATGCAGAATAACACAAGCTATAGAATAACACAAGCTATAGAGTACAACAAATCCCAGCAATAATACATTATAAAGTGGTACAATGCTAAATACCACCTGCATTCCTTGCTGTATAATTTTACACTTTCCATTTAACTATATTGCACACCACACTATCTTTTTTCTTTTTTACTTCCACCGCTCCAAGCTTGCTCCTGTGATGGACTACAACCTCAATACAAACTAGTAGTCCCATCACTGGAGCCATTTTTTTAAACTTTATTTTATTGTTTATCCGATTAAATCGAACTTAATAATCGGCTAACTAATCGATTTTGAAAATAATCGTTAGCTGCAGCTCTACTGTGCACTCTATGTATACATATCTATTCCAACAACTGAATGTCAAATTGACAACTTATAACTACTCGGCATACCCAAGCTCCCCAAGACCTACATTGAAAAGTTCCATCAGGCAGGAAAGGGCTGGATAAATAAACATGACTAACTTGTAAAAACAAATCGGGAGTTCTGCCCAATGTTTAAGTCCAACTCCCCTCCATCTCTATGTACAGTGAAACTGATGCGAGTTAAGTTATGCAGGTCACTTCAGAATACTGCGCCTATTGCGGTTTAAAAAATAAAAAGCACACAACCTTTGCATAAAAATGTCACAATGTTCTAATATGTCTAAAAGACGTGTATTAGTACATAAACCCACAAATTACGCATGGATCATGCACATTTCCTGTGTCTTTGCAACAACCATTAGGGCTTGTTCACACCAGTTGAATTCATGTTTCTAAAAAAAGGCATTACAAAGGCACGCACAGTTAAAATAGTTTAATACCCTAATCCACACCACTGCGTTCAGTACCAGTGCAGTGCTAAACAAATGCATTACAAAACACATTAGAAAAGCATTACAATGCTCATGCTGAACTCACAATGCGGGATTTCTAGTGTGAACAAGCCTAAATCCCACTAATTTAACAAGTGGTATATATTGTAATAGGGATGTCCCAATACAGGGCATTTTGACAAGTACTTGTCAAAATGCCCCGATGCCTAGCGCCGAAGCTTGCGCTATGTTTTTTTTTTTCTTACCTTCCGTGGTGGCTGGGGTCCTCTGGGCAGGCTGGAGGAGTGTCGCGTCACTGCTGTGGGGGAAGCTCCAGGTGGAGCGGTGACGGCGGGGGGCGTAGAGCAGTGACAGGGCAGGGGGCGTGGAGCAGTGACGGAGCTGGACTCATGGATCTGCGACAGGCTCTGTCACCTCCCTCCTGTCCCCGACTCGTTCTTGTCACAGGAGTTCTAGCACAGTGCTGTGCTAGAACTCCTGTGTTGGAGGTGACAGGGCCAATAAAGTGTACCTGTCACCTCCAAATGCTATCACACAGGGGTTTGTTAGCCCATGTGTGATGGCAATAAATTTAAGTGAAAAAAAAATAACTGATTAAAATTGTAACTAAATAAAAAAATTAAAGACAAGTAAACCTAATAAAATAAACTAAAAATGTTTACAAAGTAAATAAAGAAATTGGAAAAAAAATGAAACCAGCCCCGCTGCCCCCATCTGCATTAGAATAAACGCACAGTGTTTTCAACCGCACAATCTGCCTGGCACTACTGGGGTCATTAGAAAATAATGGCATTGCCAGCACGATTGGCGGTGGTGTGCAATCCATGACCGCCCGGTCATCGTGCACAAAACCGAGCAGATGGCTGGGCGGTCATGGAATCGCACACAACCGCCGATTGCGCTGGCAGTGCCATTATTTTCTAATGGTACCCCATTCGCGCCAGGCAGATTGCGCGGTTTCCCGCTGCAATACCGCCTGGGCAGTCCCACACGATCGCAGTTGAAAACATGAATAGGTTAAAAGTTTTCTTGTTCTAAAACAGTCTTAGATTAAGGTTCATAATCATAAACAAATTGGCCTAAAATCATTAGTCTATTGTTTTTTTTTAA